CTAATTTTTCTCGCTCGTAGCGCTATTGGTTTGGTCTGCAGAAGGGGTGCCCGTCTTACCTACCCTGACCGTCTTACCCCACTTTCCCCTATGTACTGTTACTCATATCAATCGCTGAAAGTTTCAAAGCGATCGTTCAGTCGGTGTAGCTATAGCGAGCCTTTGAACGTTTTTTGAGGTAAGGTCACTTGACGTGACCTGGTGACCTGACCTTGAACGACCTGCGTCTGAAATTTTCACAACATGTGCAGCAGAAATGATGCATAAACAGGTGTACCATGCACGGCGGCGCGCAGGTTTTTGAGATATTCGCGAAAAACTTGAGAGGAGGGGTGTAAAAAACACCCCTTCCCAGCACGGCGCGGGTTAATGCATCGCAAAAGGTCTAAAAAAGCTTTAATATTGGTGTTTTGTCAATTGTCAAAAGGTCCGTGTTGGTGTTTTGCTAACCGCGAACGTATAGAAGGGGCCAGTTGGACCCCCTTGCCGTTTGGCCCTTGATCCAGGGACCGCGGATTCCGGGGGGCAGGGTGTGCAATTGCACACCCTGAAAATCCTGAGGGTGTGCAAACACCTATTTTTGCCCACCCACAGTTCGTTGTGGGGGCCCATGCGGCCCTGGCGCTTGAGTGTCCCAAGCCGATTCTCGAGGGCCCCAGCGCGAGTCTGATGGTCCCGCACCGGTGCCTGAAGGCGTGAATAGGTTCTAGTGTTATCTCAGGGGTTATCTCAGAACCCCACCCACGCCATTTTTTAGCGCTCCCACCGGCTCTTGAGGGCCCAGGCTGATGCCCGAGGGCCCCAAGTCAATGTCTAAAGGTCCCACGCCGGTGTCAGTACCTACATGGCTAGCTCAGGGATCCACGCCAGTTTCTGAGGGCCCTAACCGGCTCTTGAGGGCCCCTTGCCCCCTGCCCTCCTTAACCCCTCTTGGGGCCGATGCCCAAGGGTCCTGCATCAGCACCTGAAAGCCCACAGAGTTATCTCAGGGCCCCATACCAGTTTCTGAAGTCCCTCACCAGCTCTTGAAGGGCCCCAGACCGATATCCAAGGACCTCTGGCAAATGCCCGGGTTCGCAGGCCGATGCCCGAGGGCCCCAAGCCGTTACCCAAGGGCCTTACACAGCTATCTCAGGGTATAATGCCACTTTCCGAGGACCCTAACCGGCTCTTGAGGGCCCCAGGCCGATTCCTGAGATCCCCAGGCTGATGTGAGAGGGCTGACCGACTGAGGCGGCCCTTACGTCAGTTTCTAAGGGCGTCCACGACCGCCGTCTGGTCAAAGCTGATCTCTGAGGGCCCTACGCAGGTTTTTAAGTGCACTCAGCTCTTGTTTAGGATCTCACACCGGCCTCTGAGATCGGATGGCTTATGCATGCCTCAAAGCAGCCCTTACCTTACCGGCTCCTGAGGGCTCCGTGCTGATAGTTGAGGGCCCCATGCCAATACTCGAGAGTCACATTCAGTAATCTCAGCGCCCTATACCAGTTTGAGGAACGCCGTTCGGCCAAGGCTGACCTCCGAGGAACAGCCCTTTGCAAGCCTCGGAGTGCCCTCACTTTCTTTTTTAGGATCTCACACCAACCTCTGAAGTCGCAGGGCTAAAGGATGCTTCTGATAACCCTCACTAGCTCGGACCCAAATCGATGCATGATGACCCGACAGAAGTGCCTGAGTAGCCCGCACAGTAATCTCAGGGCTCACACCAGTTTCTGAGGGCCTACACGAACGCTTTTTGGCCAAGGTCGATGTCTCGGGGCCCTATTCAGGCATCGAGGCTACTCGGGCGCCAAGAGACGGTGGGGGACCTCCAGGCGAGCTTGCTTGGTAGTAGTTGGTACCCCATGGAGCCGGCGAACGGTGTCAAAGAGCCCGGTGTGGGGGCCCAAGAAGCGGCGTGGGCATCCATATTTCTATGTACTTACATGAGGTATTCCAGAGGCCGTTATGGGACCTTCAAAGACCGTGTGCGGTGCGCCGGTGACCCTTAGAATTGCCGGCGTTGGGTCTCAGGAGCTGGCGTGCGGCCTTTATGGGGCTCCAAAGCCAGCGTGTGGGCCGTAGAGCAATGGGGAAGCTAAGGGGGCCGGAGGCCAGACCCCCATAGGTCATAGGGGCCAAATCGATGGGCCCAAACATCCCGCCGGCCGTGTTTTATTTTTAAACTAATTCATGTAATCCATGATAAAAAGAAGTGTACCAACATCAACTGTGCAAAAGGGCTCTCTGAGGCCCGTAGGGGCCCTTGAAGGTCACTGTAAGCTGTAAGGGGCCTGTTTGGGAAAATCGGAGATTGATTTGGATCACGTTGCATGCATGCATGTGCATTTACTCTGCTAATGCATCTCCTGACCGTAAGATGCTCGCTCAGTCATCTTACGACCGTCAATTTTGAAGGTTTTCCCGCCCCGCTTCCTTGGAACCGGATTATTCCGGAGCAGTGGCGGCGCTGACTTTTTGGAAGGGGCCCGGCGTGAGATGGAGGCCCAATCGCCACATCTTGCACACCCTACGAGAATTTGAATCCGCGGTCCCTGCCTTGATCGAGCTAGATCTTCGCTGAGAAGACGAGCGTGTTGCGTTGCCCGTGACAAGAGGAAGCCAATGATAACAAATTTTAAGGTTCTAGGTCATTGGTTGGCCTCCCAGATCAGGTCAATGACCCAAAATTAAGGAAAATCGGGACCTTCAAGAACATCGTAAAGTAAGTCTGCTATGGACTTTTTTCGGGGTGCTGATCACGAATTTCATGATGGTTTTGATCACAGATGATGTCTTCATGAATTTAGGCTAGGCCGGGTCAGGTCAGGTCAGGTCAAAAAGAAGCGGTCCTGCCGGGTATTCATAGTAGGTGTCAACCTTTAGGTACTTCACTGATATCTGTGTAACACGTTACGAAGGCACCAAAACTAGTTCGTAAAAACTAAAAATGGTTGCTAAATTGAATTCGAAATAAGCTCCAAAAACTAGACTATAGAAACATCTAAAACTCGAAAAAGTGAACCGTGGTCATCAAAAGTCAGTGACCAGACCTGACCTTCAAGTTACCTTGACACCCACCATATCCCGGCCGGGCCCGGGGGGTAATCCCAACCACCGCAGCCCGGGGGGGGGGCGTTTTTCGCCCCCCCCCTGTCTAACTCCATAAATAAGGGAGCTACGCAAACAAAAGCGATACCAAACGAAAGGTCCTTACGAGACGATTCTAGGGCACCTAAAATTTTTGACCTCAGGTCAATTTTCAAGGTCAGAGGTCAAGGTCAAAGGCAAAAACTGGCACATGTGTAGTGATCTCAAAGTAAGCCTTCTAGAGGACGGCAGGATGCATCAAACCGGCGAAATTGGGTGTCAAACAAAAGAAGAGAATCTGAGGATTCCGAAAATGTGCTCATAATCAAAGGTCAAGGTCAAGGTCACGCCCAAAATTGACCTCAAACTTTGCACTTTTTCGTACATCTTGCGTGCTAACTTCCAAAATGTTTTGAAATGTTTTGAGGCTTATCAGTTCCCTATTTGTGGTTCATCTTACGATACAAGGCTGCTCAAAGTTCAAGGTCACAGAAGAGTATCCTTTCTAGAGGCTATTTCACTGATTCAAGTTAGTAATAATAAATAAGACAATTTTGCCATCCGGAAGCTCTAAATGAAAGCTTAGAGGAAAATAGATGCCAGATTCGTGATCAGCGGGTACAAATTCATCATGAACGACCTTTCATGTGTCAAAGTCAACCAAAGGTCATTCGAGGTCACATGAGGTCAACATAAAATTTGACCTTTTCCAAACAAAATATATATCATTCGACGCGGCTTGACAAGGCGAATGCGATGGTACTACTGCCGTAGCTCTAGGACCATTTTTGTCGAAGTTATTTGCGAAAAACTAAAACCACATTTCGGGGTCGTTGACCTGACCTCTGACCTCAGGTCACCGAAACTATTTTTCTATTTTTCTCTAGGTCAAACGCTACACAACCGTTTTCGTAATTTGTCTTTATCTCTAAAACTCTATTTTTAGCAGCTATTTGAAGTTCGCGTCTGTGACGCCGAAGTTTGCCGTGCAGGGGTTTAGAAAAATCGACCTTGTGACCAGGGCTGCGGAGTCGATGGATTTTCGGCGACTCCGACTCCGACTCCGATTCCGGCTTTCAAAAACCAGCTCCGACTCCGACTCCGACTCCGGGCAGAATTATCGACTCCGACCGACTCCAACTCCCGACTCCGACTCCGCAGACCTAGCAGGGCTGCGGAGTCGACAGATTTTCGGTGACTCCGACTCCGACTCCGGCTCGGGTTTCTAAAATCGACTCCGACTCCGACTCCGACTCCGGTCACAACTGTCGACTCCGACCGACTCCGACTCCGACTCCGACTCCGACTCCGCAGCCCTGCTTGTGACGTCATCAAGGGGGCTAGGTCCAAATTTTTTACTACAGAAGATGTCAAATGGATGGGAGAAAAGGTACTGAAAGTTTCGCCTTCCTATCCCTAATCGTTCGGGAGCTATCGCAAATATTCGCCAGGGGGGGGGGGCGAAAAACGCTCCCCCCGGGCCCGCGAGGGATATTGCATCTGACCAACATGATTTCACATGTTTGAACGTTTGAAACCACAAAAAGACTGCAAACGCGCAGATAATGCGAGCCGACGTAAGCCGAATCGCGATCCCAGCCAAGCATGGTCTCGTGAAATAGGTCACAGATCAAAGGTAATTGGGGTCAGAGTTATTGATTTTTTAGGGTAGGTGTAAAATTGATTAACTCGAGGGTACTGAAGGTTGCGTTGGGATCGGCTGCTTTTTACGCAAGTTATTCGCGAAAAAGCGAGGGAGTCCGTTCGACATCCTCCCCTACACGGGCGAGGTTAAGTGTCAATTTTGAAACTAGACAACCACTTTCAGTGAGTCCGAGATGCGATGAGATAAAATTCACGCTAAACTGGTGTTTGGCCACACTGTGCGTCGGTGCGCGGGTTATGTATGTAATTGAACAGTGAACACATACCTGCCCCGGCCGAGCCGGTGCCGAAGCGGAGAGTCGAGCGCCGATCCGCGGCCCGTGCAGCCCGAGCGGCGTCTGACGCCCGCGGTGGGGCGGGAGTGATATATAGCCTTAGGCCGGCGGGGGGCGACTCTGATATCAGCAGCCCCGCCCCCACCCCCTCCCCACCCCACCCCTCGCGGCCCACAGCCGCTGCACGGTAAACTGAGGACTGAGCAGAGCTGATGTAACGCCAGGAGCTGCAGGAATTCACACGGAGGTGCAGGCACACGTGTTAGTGCCGCAGTGAGACAGGAGAGAAAACCAGAATTCAGATTAGAAGTAGGGAAATTTTGCAACTCTAGTAGTGATTGAACATTTGATCTGTACATCCATAGCTCTAAATAATTCTATGTTTATGACGTCTCCACCAATATTTGTAGAAAGTCAACTTTGCTTCATACATATTTGTCCTTGCTTGTATCCTATCTCAGTCTTGTTGATTTTTTGTTTACCTACTTCACTCCATAGAGATGGGAGCTAACTGGAAGAAACTCGCGACTCTAGTTCGCGGTAACTTTCGTACCTCTTCCACGGCCAAGGCCTCAGTGGCCGTTTGTCGCCAACGGCAAACGAAATAGGTCATTGACATTGAAAGGTCATTTTGAAAATTTAACCTCGTGTCAAGGTGAGCTTAAATTTGGACATAGTTTTAATCTTCTCTGAAGAATATTAGATGTGGCAAAAGGCAGATGAAATATTGATAACCTTTGCCCAGACAGCAAAAGATCTTAGTATATGACTGAAGATCGTTTTTCCATTGGTGCACGTGTTGAGGATGAAAGCGTTTCTAACAGGTTTGTTAGTGCACTCCGTGCACTAACAAACAGTTAGTGAACGGGTCAATGTCCCATACAAAACAGACAGATCAATATCCTGTGACCCTATGACCTACAGTCAACGCCGTGCAATTTCATTTTTCATCTATTTTATTGTCTATTGGCTCTTTTTGCCTATTCTATGGCTTGTTTATTTATGTATGTATATTCAAATGTGTTTTTCTCTCTATCTCTGGTGTTCGGACAAAATCAATATCAGTTTCAGAGCCACCCAATTAAATACCAGCAGTGAACAATCAACATGTATTGCAGACTTAGCAATGACACAAAACAGTCATCAATACATGTACAGGGTGTCTCAAAAGTTCGCTTACACATTTCCCATGTCAATAAAGCATATAAGAACCGGCCAAAAATCTAAGGTTTTGGTGTCCGTGTGTACACTAGACAAATATGCATGCTTTGACAACTGATTCGGAAGGTTGGAAACCAAACCCTTTGCTGTATCTCCAAAAATATTTGCCCATACCGATTTTCGTCACTCCGTCAGCTGCCGGAGGCTGATAAAAGGTTACCAACTTTCAAGCTCTTGTAGGGGAATCCCCCGCAGTTTCTGCGTCGGATTTAGGTTTGACGAGCTCCCCGGCAACATCCGCTTCTCCCTGAAAGCCGATAGCTTGCATCGACACCATCCGTGAGTATTTTGTAGGTCTTCTCTGGCGCTAACTCCTTCATGAATGACTGGCGCCGACCTCCCAAGCACCATTTTCCTTTTCAAAACAACCCCATTCCTGAACAAATGGGAAGTACCAGGGGCAAATTTTTCGCAGCATATCGTAGCAGAATGTGTCGGCCATCTGTTTCTTAGACACATTTTGCAAAATTTGCAAATCCCGAACGCTCGTCATTCCCAATGCCAAGACCTTCGCTGGGTTCCGGAGTGTTTTCCTCAGGAGAGGTTCTGCTTTGTAAACGGCCAAAACCTGTCCATCGTGCGGTTTTGTCCGGATTTTGTGTGTAAAAGAAAGCTATTTGCTCCAGATCTGCCTCTTGAAACTTCGTTAGATAAAACTTTACATTAATTGACACTTTTGGAGGGTCACTTGTCCTCGGCATTGACGATTTTCGCATTATTTTCCCTCAAAATTTAGCGTTATAGATATTATAAACAATTTTAAATGATGTTTTGTCTTTATTTTATGATGACCTGCAATTTTTTAAACTGGGTAACCTCTGTCTGTGAGCTTCTAGTCAGTTTTCAATAGTTAGGACTGCATTTTCAGCTGCTTTCCGGAGCACGAGTCTGCTGCGGTACAAGGGTCGTTCAAAGCGCTGTTAGTCTCGCATGGTTTTGTCCTTCAAAAATTTTAGCCACCGTTTTTATTAGATGACCATCATGTTGTACTCATCCTCGCCGACACTTTGCCATGTGTCATTTCCGACCTAACCATTCCCATTACTCGTGAAGCAGAGAGTTTCTCAGCCGACCCGAGTATGCGACCTCCATTTTCATGCCTGATCCATGGTCAGAGGTGAACCCTTTTTGTGTGCTCATGAAGGGTCGAATGCGCTTGAAAACAATGAAGCTGCTTGAGGAAGGTTGTTACCAATGCCCATGCAAAATTTCGACTGTGAATTTCATGTTGATTCAGAATTATTGACAAAAAAGCATGGCTGGTACCTGTAAGCGAACTTTTGAGACACCCTGTACATATTACATATTCGGCAGTATTGTCTGCCGTGCGTCCATCACATTGACGTGTGCATGCCCTCCAGGGTAGCTCATACGCTCTCCTTGCTCGTCATGTTGAAGTGTATGTTGAATGTACAGCTGTGGAACTCTGTGCCGACCACAGCACCACGACTGATGCTCGCGAGATCCGCCGTGCTTGTGACCGTGAATGACGCACCGCTCTGTACGTCGCTGCTGACCTCGGCTACACTGGCTTTGTGATCTTGACGATGCTTATCACTGGAGAAGTCTGCATTTTCAGTTACGGTCCTTGCCATCTTCCGTTGGACGGTGTCGCATGCCTCAGAGTAGCTAGTGAGACTGTTTACTGACTTATGCAGCTGAGTCACATAGCTTTCAGCTTTTAGTTTCATTTTTATCTTCATCATCATCAAGTAAATTGCCAATTAAATCAAAACACGGTCTATCACTCATTACTGTTAATTCGAATAACGTGTAACTGCCAAGGCCTAAATTTGCTGACAAGTGCTGACAATGCAAACCGAAATTGTTTCCAGACTTGATTTTTCGCTTTAATTTTGAATTCGCGTGGCGCAGTCATATACTAAATCGCTTAGTACACTCGCGTTTCTAAATTTTCATTTTGTGACCTCGACTGCGTCTCGGTCACAAAACGAAAATTTAGAAACGCTCGTGTACTAAGCTATATTACTTAACAGTTAATTAGGAGAAATTCCGTCACTTTTTTAAAGTGCAATATGCTACACATGATATTCAGCTATGCTCCAAATGAAGTGTAGTGTATATATGCTCTTTTTTACATATTTGATATGGCATTTTCGGACTGAAGAAATATTTCTACAACCTCCCCCGGCTTAACATCGACACATAAATGTCAAGATTTAAGAAATGTGATCTAATAAGATCAAATGGGCATTAGTTGCATCGTAAGCGATAAACAACAACGAATGTTTTTTGGAACTCTTGACATTCATCAAGGACTTTGATGTCCGGGCTTCAATGGGCCTTGACATTGGAATCTTAGTATAATATTTCACTTAAATAGCTCAAAACAGTTATCATATTCCAGACCGGTTTCGGCACGTTTCAGTACCATCATCAGTGGGCATATGTTACATTAATGATACATCACAATACAAAGCTAATACAAAAAATCGTAGCCCCACCTTCCAGTGGGTCAAGCCAACGGGGCCCAAGTCTATAATGGCACTTAACGATAGCACTAACCTTGTCTCACTTTTCGTTGAAGTCTGTTCCAAATGGTTTCGGCCACAGGCTGGCTGCACTGAGGTCGTTTGGTATGTGCAACTGTAATTGAAGCCACCTGAGGCGCCCTGACACCAGGCTGAAGCTGGGTTGGAAATGCTTCGTCTTTGCAGATACACTGAAAACCAAAACGATTCTCTATTCCATTTGATCATGGTGTGTCATGCTCCTATAACTCTGCCGTTTTCCTGGCGGAATGCCCTTAAGATACTCAAATGATTCCTCAATCAGGGGTTTTGGTCTAAAACAACACCCTAATCATTTTCTTCGAACATACCCAAACTATACCCTCATTCTTTAAATACCTCCCTTGAATTCTTCTAATATACCCTAGTGTACAGTCTCTGCCGCTACTGTCAGATACCGTACCTGTGCCGCTCGGCGCCTCCGGCGGTGACCGGTCGGCGGGCCGGGACTGGCCGGCCGGGCGGGCGGGGAGGACGGGCAGTCGCTCCCTGGACGTGTTGCTGACTGTATTTAGGGCCTTGTTGCTGACCTAATACAGCACCTATCCGTGCTTCTATCCTCAGGATACTGAAATCCTTCTCCTCCAAGCCGCAACCCCCCCTCCGGGCTGGACAGGCAACTTTATCTCATGCGGGCTGCTCCCTTGGAGCGGCACCGCTGCTCCTGAGGGAGCGCACCCCGTAGCCGGGTGCAGTGAGTGCCTTGGGGCTGGGTGGCCTGTCCTCTGGACGGGTTCAGCCCCGGCGACTCACTAGGGTGCCTGCCCAGACCAATGTCTCCCCCTAATTCCTATCATCCTTCCGGCTCTGCAATGGTCTTGTCGACCGAAAGGGCCTAACCCAACAAAACAAACAAACAAACAAACCTAATACAGCACCAAACGCGGTGCCGTCTTCGCTGAGTGCGTGTGGGCGATGCGACGACATAACAGGCAGCTATAAGCTTGTTTTGACGCGCGGTATGGGCAGCTATAACCAGTCGCGGCGCAAGTGCGTTTAAGCCAGGTGATTCGCAACTGCCACCCAATCAGCATACTGCAGTCCAGTGCCGGCAGTGACGTACATGACACGTGATCAGACTGCTGGGCCGAAAGTGCGCCAATTTTCAAAGGGTTTGAGCGCGCCAGTTGAGTTTGAGCGTGCAGTGGAGTTAAGGACGGTTGTGCTCAGCGCGGGTGATAGCGGGTGTGTAGTGTGTTCATTGATCATTCGAGCAAAGGACGTCGTGGAGGACATCGAAAGCACAGCTGTGAAACCCAGAAGAGACGAAACCTGCACGACAACGACTTTTCGGCGTGCCGGAAACCGGAA